ACCAAAAAAAGTCCAGAGTCTCTTCTGGGATTAAAGGCAGTCTGTTAGCATGAACCCCAGTAAAATAAAATAAAATTTCAAATAAGATTAAAAACCAGATTGCATACTTCGGAATACAATGGCACAAAGTAAATGTTCCCTTTTCAAAAGGGAGGAACGAAGCCAAGGAAAGATGGGACCAAAGCAAGACAATAACCCAGCAGAACTGCCACCAAACCATGCAGCTTTGTGTCTGGCCCTGTGGCTTGTGATCACAGCATCTAGTCCACTGGCTTTGCGTAGCCCTATCTTTCCAACTCTGCCACCTGCAACACATGGCCTCTTCCTGGGCCAGTTGCACTCTGCACACAATTTTCCTAAAAATAGATCCCATGGTCCTGGGCTCTTTAACATTCTGGAGCCTTCATTACAAGTTAATCTTCACATTCATAGCTTGTCCCATGGTATCCATTTCTGTGATAAAACTGGCTTGGGAGAAGAAAGGGTTTGTGTGACTTACAGGTTACAGTCCATCATGAAAAGAATCCAAGGCAGGAACTCAAGGAGGAACCTAGAGGCAGAAACGGAAGCAGAGACCATGGAAGATACCGTTTCACCATGGTAGGGAGGCATGACAGCAAGTGGCAGGCATGGTGGTGGGAGCAGGAAGCAGAGACGGCAAAGCTATGAATACTCTAAACTAGCCCTCCAGTGGCACTTCTCCAACAAGGCCATGTCTCCAAAAACCCCCCAAGTAGTGTTACCCAGTAGGAAGGGACCAAGTGTTCAAATGCCTGACACTATGGGGAACATGGTTTTTTTCAGTAGCCTCTCAAGGACCCCCTTTCATGGAACCTATTCTTATGGACACCATAAGTTTCTGGAATGTAGATGCAAGTTTCCCTGGCCCTTTCCCTCTTACCTTTTGCCTGCATGCAGAATTACCATGTGGATTACCATGCTGCCAAATTCTGCTGCCTGCGTGGGTTGGGATAACTGGGTGTGTGCAGGCAGGAAGCAGGGTGAAGTGAGGGCTGGTGCTCCAAAGTTTATTTTCCTAGCTGAAAACTAAATGTAAGATACACAGCAAGGAAGGCACCTTTTCATTTATTTATGTTTTTTCTTCTCATATATTACTTGCTGACCACAGTTTCCCCTTCTTTCTCTCCTCGTAGCCTCCCTCCCCCCACTTCCTGTTTCTGCCCAATCCACTCCTGTTTTCCCTTCAGAAAAGGGCACGCTTCCCACAAACATGGCATATCAAGTTAGGAATGCATCTTTTTGTTCCATATTCTTATATACCCCCAACCAAAAAGGTGAAAATGACAAAAGACTTCTTTACCACGATACAAGGAACAAACAGACTTTCTACCTTAATTCTTCAAACGTTTAGTAAACTAAATCTCTGACCTTGATGGTTAAGAGTAACCACACCGTAGACCAAGTCTTTTCTTATTTAGATAATTCATACATGCGTTAGACCTTTAGGTCTTTGACTTCGGTGTTGAAATAGTAAAGGTAGTTTTGAACTCTCTGGACCTTAAGTCAAGATGAAGTGAAGCCATTTTTATGGACCCCTGACAGTGTTCTATTGCTATGAAGAGACCGTACCAAGGCAACTCTTACACAGGAAAACATTTCATTGATACTGGCTCACAGTTTCAGAGGTTTAGTCCATTATCATCATGGTGGGGCATGGCAGCGTGCAGGCAGACATGGTGCTGAAGAAAGAGCTGAGAGTTCTCCATCCTGATTTGCTAACAGGAGGAAGATAGAGATTCTGGGCTTGACAGGGACTTTTTAAACCTTACATCCCTCCCCCAGTGACACATTCAAATGGCAATACTCTCTGGTGACTAGGCATTAAAATTTATAAGCCAATGGGGGCCATTCTCATTCAAACGACCACATCTTATATCCATGGGCATATTTTTACTTGTCCAGCTTTCCATATAAATGTCTCTACCTCAGGATTTCTGCTTTCCTTTCTTCCTTGTGTATCTAGGCAAATTACAGTTCAAAGTTGTGATCTTGGAAATCATCTTTAATAGCTAGCTCACATCAGTCTTATGAATCTTCCCTTGAACTTCACTGAAAACTGCAATTTTGACTTATAGCTTCATGAATGGCTATCTTCTTGCATGGATAGGATATTTGTTTATACATTTCATGATTATTTAACTTGTGTTTCACAGCATATTGTTTGCTCTTAAATGAAAAAACTTAAAATTTGTTATCTGGAGTGCCATTGTAGAAACAATAACTGCTCGATGCTTGTTTGATTGCAGGTGTATTTGGAAATCCAAATTCAGCACCAGCAACTTGCAACCAACCAGTGATATCCTCTGTGGAACATGAGGATACATTTCCAGTAAAACCAAGCATTGAACCACCATCAGGAATTTATGGGAGAGCAGTCCAGCAAAATACTCCATCATATCTTGATGTTGAAAATGACAAAGATGTAAGGTTCTCTACTAATCTTTGGCTATGTCGTTATTTTCTTTATATGAGATGTGGGATAGCACACATCTTTTTTTTTTTTTTTTTTTTTTTTTTTTGGGGACAGGGCTTCTCTGTGGCTTTGGAGGCTATCCTGGAACTAGCTCTTGTAGACCAGGCTGGTCTGGAACTCACAGAGATCCACCTGCTTCTGCCTCCCGAGTACCAGGATTAAAGGCGTGTGCCGCCACTGCCCGGCAGCAAACGTCTTTTAACTAACAACTTTAGTTTTATTTTGTATATGTCTCTGTATGCATACACATGCTGGTGTGGAGTCAGAACATAACTTTGTGTGTTGCTCCCAACTTCCACCTTATTTAAAGAGCATCTCTGTCACTCCACTGTGACTAGGTTTTGCACAAGCTTCTGGGAATTTCACTGTTTCTATTTCCCATCAGAGAATTGGAGTTACAGAAGTATAGTACAATATCTGACTTTACTTGTGTTGTAAGGTTTTGAGTTCAGCAAGCTTGAGCAGCAAACTTGAACAACTCTCTCTCTCTCTCTCTCTCTCTCTCTCTCCTTCTCTATTTTAATCTCAAGACAGTTTCTCTGTGTAACAGCTCCGACTGTCTTAGAACTCGCTTTGTGTACCAGGCTGGCCGAACTCACAGAGATCTGCCTAGCTCAGCCTCCCAAGTGCTGGCATTAAAAGCTTTGCACTACCACCACTTGAACAGCAAACTTAAATAACGCACTCTTTATCCACAGAGCTGTCTCCCCACTTGATTAAAATTTTCTGTAATTGAAATTTCTGAATTTAATCACTTAGATTGTTGATAAGCAGTATACAAATATAGTATATATTATATAACATATTACATAATATATTTTATGCTGTACCTGTGGTATATATACATATATATTTTATATTTTATGATTGTGAGTGTATATATTCAAACAGACTGATGCTCTTTTTTTAATTTGAAATTAAATTTAGTGTACAATAAAGTAACAGAAAAAGAAATTAAAAGCAGGCAGAGAAAAACCTTCCAGGAGTCGCAGAAATAAAAGGAAGCCTGCCTGATGCTCTTAAGCACAAATTTCATTGGATATTAGCACTACATAATTCTTTCAGATTTCAGGAGTTGTAAAATAAGGACTAAAAAACATGCATTTGGTTCAGGATCAAATATTTATGCCTGTGGTTCTAGCACTTTAGGAGGAAGAGGCAGGAGAATCAACTTGATGACTACATTGAAAGGACATGTATATGAGACCCTGTCTCAAAACAAAAAATATCATCTGTCCTATGTAGACATTTAATATGCTTATGTATCTCCCTCTCCACACACACTTTTCTAAAACAAAGATATTCTAAATGTCAGACTTCCTCAATGCCTCTAGATATATAGGTGGACTTTTTTGTCCCACCAGCTAGTTCCAAATCACCACTCAGAGACTTATTATTAATTACAAATGCTTGGTTGACAGCTCAGGCGTGTTACTAGCTAACTCTTATATTTTAAGTTAACCCATATTTCTTAGCTAACCTCTGCCACATGGTAGTACCTTCTTTCAACATGACATGTTCAGCTTGCTTCTTTGTGACTTTTGTTCTCGTGTCTCCTCAGATTCCACCCTTCCTCCTCTTCTTCCCAGCATTCTCTCTGTCCTGAAAACCCTGCCTAGCTATCAGCAAGTCAGCTTTTTATTAACATGAGAGCAACACATTTTCACAGTTTACAGATGGATTATTCCACAGCACAAATATTTCAACTTTTTCATGCAGACTAAAGTTTCTATGGCAAAGTCTACTTATGACAAGATGAGACAGAAGAGGAAAGAAGAAAAAGAGCTTTTTGATGGTGAAAGGAAAGAGCAGAATCCCTGGGAACGAATAAAACATTCAGGGACTGAGAAAATGACATCTGAAAGTAAGTAATTTTGTGAATGCCAGTTAAAATAATGTCCAGTACAGTCATAACAGAGATCAGTGGAGTCAGTAGATGGGCCCATTTCTTAAGTTTTGGTTCTGCATTTGATTAACCTTAAGAACTGGGAACAGGCTTCAGTTTTTTACATATGTAAGTATCCAGGTTGTTTTCATATCCAGATTGACTCAACAGTCCCTTCCATCCTCACTGAAAATATTCCTCCTTCTCTAGGAAGTGCTATTCCCTTGTTATAGTTGAGACAATTAAACTAGTGGAGTTAGTTTGTGTTAGATCTTGATCAAAGGGGTCACTCTTTAAGGCTGATGAGCTGGCTCAGAGGGTAAAGGCACTTGCCAAACCTGATGACCTACGTTTGATTCCCAGAAATCACATGATGAAAGATAAGAACTAACTCTCAGAAGCAATCCTCTGCCCGCCCCCCCCGTGCACCATGGCATGTATATACACAACAAATGTAATTTAAAAAATTAAGTCGGGGTGGAGTCGGTTACAAAGGCAGCAGCCAGCCCGGCTCCCGCACGCTCGCTCGCCCGCCCGCCCGCCCGCCAGCCCGTCCTCAGAGGCCTCGCGCTCCTCGCCATTTTTCCAGCCGCGCTCGGACGCGGGCCGCGGCGGCGGGGAGAGGCGGAGCCGCGAGAGCGCGGCCCGGGCCGGCCCCGCGGGGCGGTCGCGGCCGTGACGGCGGCTCCCGGCCCCGGCTCCCTTTCCTCACCCCTCCCGCCGGAGATGAAGGGAAGATGTCCGTGTCAGGGCTCAAGGCCGAGCTGAAGTTCCTGGCTTCCATCTTCGACAAGAACCACGAGCGATTCCGCATCGTCAGCTGGAAGCTGGACGAGCTGCACTGCCAGTTCCTGGTGCCGCCGCCGCCGGGCAGCCCGCACTCGCCGCTGCCGCCGCTCACACCCCACTGCAACATCACGGAATCTTACCCATCTTCTTCACCAATATGGTTTGTGGACTCTGATGACCCAAATCTAACATCAGTTCTGGAACGACTAGAGGATACTAAGAACAACAATTTGCTTCGTCAGCAATTGAAGTGGTTGATATGTGAACTCTGCAGATTATATAACCTTCCTAAGCACCTGGATGTTGAGATGCTAGATCAACCACTACCCACGGGTCAGAATGGGACAACTGAAGAGGTGACTTCAGAAGAGGAAGAGGAGGAAGAGATGGCTGAAGATATTGAAGATTTGGATCACTATGAGATGAAGGAAGAAGAACCTATTAATGGGAAAAAGTCAGAGGACAAAGGAATTGAAAAAGAAAATTTGGCAATATTGGAGAAAATTAGGAAGACTCAAAGGCAAGACCATTTAAATGGTGCAGTGTCCGGGTCAGTGCAAGCATCAGATAGACTCATGAAGGAGCTCAGGGATGTCTACAGATCACAGAGCTACAAGGCAGGGATTTATTCAGTGGAACTAATAAATGACAGCTTATATGACTGGCATGTCAAACTACACAAGGTTGACTCTGATAGTCCTTTGCACAGTGATCTTCAGATCTTAAAAGAAAAAGAAGGCATAGAATATATTTTACTTAACTTCTCTTTTAAGGATAATTTTCCATTTGATCCTCCATTTGTTCGAGTGGTGTTACCTGTTCTCTCAGGAGGGTATGTGTTGGGCGGAGGAGCATTATGTATGGAACTTCTTACAAAACAGGGCTGGAGCAGCGCCTACTCTATAGAATCGGTCATTATGCAGATCAATGCCACCTTGGTGAAAGGCAAGGCGCGAGTGCAGTTTGGAGCAAATAAGAATCAGTATAATCTAGCACGGGCCCAACAGTCCTATAATTCCATTGTACAGATACATGAAAAAAATGGCTGGTACACACCTCCAAAAGAAGATGGCTAACTATGCTGACATATGTCTGGACCAATGTTGCTTTAAAGAAAATTGTTCCAACGTGCAGACATAAGCTTTTGAGTGCCCGTATAACAGCAGTACCGAAGACATTAGCTAATAGATCATTTAGTGGATAATCTGTCAACTGACATCCAGATACAGCCTTTTCATTTTGCTCACTTTAGGTATCTTGGACTGAACAGTGGGGCCCTTACTGTATTTTTCCTGATAAGTATACACAGTAGCCACTCCCTACCACCTCTTTCTTGAAAAGTGAAATCTTTTAAGCAAGCAGGGAAGTCAGCATCAGTTTGCTGCAGCTGTGAATTTACAGTAACCTTCCTATATTGAGCCTATGGGGTATGAAGATTTGCAAAATCCTGTTCATTTAGAGCCAATAAAAGTTTTAACTGATGGTCAATACTGGTTTAGGAATTTTAGGTCTTCTAAACCATAGCATTTTCAGGTCTGAAATCTTTTTATTGCCAAAATTATGACAGGAAACCTCTTCATTAAATTGTTAACTTTTTCATGGTTGTGTGAAGGTTTGAACTGTTTCTGGAAGTATGATCTTTGTTGTATTGTATCATATTAGGTAAAGCAAAGTGAGCCAGCCATTTATCTGCAGTAATTTCCACTGGGGTGGCAGAGTCCTGCTGGGCTGAACCTGCCTCCTGCTGGTTCAACATTTCTTGGGAAGAGCCACAGTATAGAGCCTGAAGGTCTAAAGTATGAGGTCATTTTACCTTTCCACTTATTAACGGGGTGTTGCAATTATTGATAAACTAATACACTTGTGAAGTGATTGGCACAAAGACAGACTCCTTGAGAAAAAGTATAAAAGATACCTAAATTGGAGATCCTGAAATTTTTTGCTGTAGTCATACAGTGGCTTTTACATCAAAAGACCAGTAGGAATTCAGCATATGTTAATTCTTTTATAAAATGTGACACAAATCAATGTTCTTTCCATTTTATTGCCTTACCTAAATCAGCCCTCTTTGGATGATAATAGTTTCTTAATCCTAACTTTGATTTAAATATAAACTCAAGCTATTAAGCACTTTTAAAAAAGAAACCCAGAAGCACATTTTCCTGCACAAACCAGTACAAAGTTTGTTTTCTCTTTTTTTGTTTTGGTTTTGGTTTTCAAGACAGGGTTTCTCTGTGTAACAGCTCTGGCTGTCCTGGAATGTGCTTTGTAGACCAGTCTAGCCTCAAACTCACAGAGGAGTGCTGGGATTAAAGACATGTGCCACCACCACCCAGGTCAAAAGGTGTATTTTATACATTTGATTTGAGCTTTTTTTTTTTTAAACTTTGTAAACCACATTCAGGAAACTTGACTTGTGCATTTTGTGTTTGTTTTTCATGTCTCCTGATTCTGTTCTGTTGGTTAAGAGGACAGGTTAAGATTCCTGGTATTCCCTTTAAATAAGTGATTGCCAGTGCTCAGATAACAAGTGACAAGGCAGAATTCTTCAAAGTATCAGAAAGTTCCTTAAGCCTAAGGCAAAATCATGAATACATTATTGAATTCTTTAATATCCTAATGGCTAGCAGATTGACAGCTGCACATTTGGCATGCTTTGTTTTTTGGATTTTATTTTTCATTGCAGATTTATTTGGCAATGTACAGTAAATTTTGTAAACTTGCATCAAGTTTATGAATAAAGAACCATTTAAAAATCAAAAAAAAAATTAAGTCACTATTGATCAACTATTCATTTGTCCTTGAGTGCTACTATGTTTACACTTAGGCAAGAGTAGGTGCCATGATTTCTGGGGTATGGCATTGGAGTATATGTGTGTCTCCATGTTCAGGTGTATGCACTTGCGTGTTTGTATTTGTGTACTTATGTATGGGTTTGTGGAGGATATAGGTTGGCATCTAAGTCATTTTCTACCTTGTTTTTTGAGTTGAAGTCTTCACTGAACTTGGAGCTTATAAAATCAGCTTCATTATCTGGCCACAAGCTGCAGGGATTCTTCTCTCTGCCTCCTCAGTGCTGAGATTAGAGGCCTGTGCTGCCAGACCTGTCTTTTTACATGGACCCTAGGAATAGAAACCAGGTCCTAATGCTTATGTGTCAAGTACTTTACTGACAGCCGTCTCCTGGGACGTCTTTAAGACCACAAAATAATCTTGGCTATAGTACAAACTAGGAAAAAAAAAAGAATGGGTTAAATTGAAAAAATTTTTGTGACTTTTAGTAAACATTAAGTACTACTTCTTCATTACTATTGTTAAACTAGAGTTAAATTATCATTCTTAAATTTATGTTGAGTTCAAAGTACATATCAACAAGAAATAGAAGAAAATTGTGTATAATTGTAATCTTGCACAAATTTTTCTAAAAATAAAAATAATATGGTGTACACTATACAGGAAGTACAGAACTCTTCTTGAAATCCTGTGTACATGGAGCTAATCAGATGGGAGGTTGATTTGTAGATTTGCTACCTTAACATGGCCTTACAACCTGTTAAATGTAGGCATTTTGTGAAATTTTTTTGCCATTTTTTTTTTACACATTTTTCCCTCCTCTCTCCCTTCCCCCTCTCCCCATTCCCCACACTCCCAACTTACTCAGGAGATCTTGTCTTTTTTTCCCCTTCCTAGATGGATCCATGTATGTCCCTCTTAGGGTCCTCTTTGTTACCTAGGTTCTCTGACGTTGTAGTCTGGTTGTCCTTTGGTTTATTTCTAATATCCCCTTGGTATTTATGAAATTTAACCTATTCATAGTCTCAAATAATTTTACTATGTTTTAATCTAATGAAAGCTAGGAAGAAGAAGCTGGAGAGATGGCTTAATGTTTAAAAACGCTGGCTAGGTGACCTGGTTCATTCCCAGTATTCACACAGCAGCTCACAACTGTCTATGACTCCAGTCCCAAAGGATCTGATGGACTTTTCTGGCTTCTGCAAGCACCACATACACACACACACACACACACACACACACACACACACACACACACACACACTACTCATACACATAAAGTTAAATAAAATAAAATTTAAAAAGAAAAATCCACTAAGTCAGTGTTAAGAGTAGTAGTAAGGTACAAACAGTAAAGAATTCCCAATTGTTCTGATGTTGACTGGTTTTGTCTATAATGTGGCCTTTACATTAGATTTCTGAAGCATATGACTGCTTTCTTAAATTGATTCATATATTACCTAAACATATGACCATACATAGGAAATAGTGTTGTAGACCAACCAGAATTTAAATATTTACTTGTGTTTATAGTTATAAGCATATCAGTGCTAACATTTTCTAACAACAAAGTTCTAGTTAGATATATCTCTATTTAAGAAGATTCCGTGGGGCTGGAGAGATGGCCCAACATTTAAGAGTATTTGAATTTGGGTCTCAGCAACCGTATCAGATGGCTCACAGCCATTTTATAACCCTAGGGCCATGGGAGTCAGAAGCCTTTGGCCTCTAAGAGCACTTACACTCACATGCCCATACCTCCACCCACACATAAATACAAACTACTTTTTTTTAATTAAAAAAATCAGCAGTTTCCAGTTCACTAGATTAATGTTACCCAAAGTATGGTCCATGGTTTAGGTAAATTTTACATTATTTTGAGACAGCATCTTGCTCTGTGGCAGTCCTGACTCAGCTTCCCAAGTTCTGCAGTTACAGGCTTAAACCACCATAACCAACCAAATAAACTGTTATTCATCTGTCTGACCTAATATCTTAGTTAAGGTTACCATTGCTGTGATGAAACACCATGACCAAAAGCAACTTGGAAAGGGTTTATTTGGCTTATGCTTCCACGTTACTATTCATAATTGAAGGAAGTCAGGGCAGGAACCTGGAGACAGGAGCTGATGCAGAGGCCATGAAGGGGTCCTGCTTATCCTTGGCTTGTTCAGCCTGCTTTCTTATGGAAGCCAGAACCACCAGCCCATGGGGTGGCTCCACCCACAAGGAGCTGAGCCCGCCCACATCAGTCACTAATTAAGAAAATGTCCCACAGATGTGCCCACAGCCCAATCTTATAGAGATATTTTCCCTTCCTCCTCTCTGATGGTTCTAGTTTGTATCAAGTTAACATAAAACTATCTAGGGCACCACTACCCCTAGTATGCCCCCCTCACAATTTCATATCCTTTTCTTTTCAGTCCATAGAGTCCTATTAGTACTACCATATATGCATGGTGTTGGGGCTATCCACTGAAGCATAGCTGGTAGTGTTTTTAAGATAAGTTTTATGTAGCATAGCATAGGCTTGCCCTAAACGCACTGTGTAACCTCAGATGACTCCTAATCATTTTGTCTCTACCTCCTCCCAAGTGCTGAGATTCTAAACATGTGCTACCCTGGCCCTTATATACAGTTCTTTTGGGGTTGTAAGATTTCAGTGTGTGTGTGTGTGTGTGTGTGTGTGCATGATACCTGATGGAAAGTAGATCTGAACCAGGAAAGCTAATTGAAGTGGATTTATTTATTCTTTGTTTGGCACATAATCCTTGATTGTCAGTTACGGCTTCCTAGCACCCACGTTGAGTGGCTCACAACCACCTGTAACTCCAGTTCCAGGGGATCTGACACCCTCTTCTGGCCTCTGCAGATACCCACACTTACTCATGTGTAATATACACAGTAGATAATCTAAATGTAAAGAAAAAAGAATTTTTTAAACATTCATCAAAGTCTATAATAAAGAACTCAATCAAGTATTGCTAATACATTGTTGCCTTTGGGTTTTCAATTTTTGAAGCATTTGTATGTGTAATTAATGTACAGCATCAAATGAAAGTTCTTATATTTGTGATTATCATGGTTAATAATCTTTTATGATAATCATTTTCTAGCACCTAATAATATCTTTTTTGAAATTATTACATGAAAGAGAACCACTGGATTTTTGTTCACTTACAAAAAGCCCGTTCTCTGTGGTCTTTTCCTTTCTAATACTTCGTCATAGTCTTCTCTTGCTCATGCTGAAAGATGATGCCTCTCCACTGCTTGGACAGTGCTTTGTATCTGGAAAATGTCTGGGAGATCCCTGACTGTGGAAGAAGTACCATTCATATTGCTACACATGGGTTTACAGTTAGAGTGTGGATAGGAGGAGAATTGAGGGTGGAGGGATTGTGTTACAAGAATACATTATATACATGTAAGAAATTGTCAAAAAGTACTATGTCAATAGAAAAGCTCTCTTGATATATTGATATAATTCTCCCTAGATAAACTCTTTTTTTTTTTTTTTTTGAGACAGGGTTTCTCTGTGTAGTTTGATGATCCTGAAACTCACTCTGTAGACTAGGCTGGCCTTGAACTCAAGACATCCACCTGCCTCTACCTCCCTAGTGCTGGGATTAAAGAAAGGCATGAGCCATCACTACCTGGCATGCATTGTCATTTTAAAATTAATAACTGTATAGTAAAACAAGTATATATCTTTTTTTTTTAATTAGACTGTATGGGTTTTCTTTCATTCATTTTTTTTTTAGCTACCTCACCCCAAGTCAGACAGCTTTTATGTTATTAGTATGCAT